TCTCTCCATCGTGAGCCTTTTAAGATCGGCCTCACATCGGCTCAGCTCGGCTTGGGATTCGAAAAATGCTTCCCGATGAAGCGTCACGGCCTATGGAGAAAGGAAGGAAATTAGGCAAAAGAAAATAAAGGCAAATGTAACTAATAACGGGGGATGAATTCTACCTGGTTCAGGAGTCGCTGAGCCTCATCTAAGATGATCGATGCATCTAGATCGGAAACATCATCAACCCCCATGAAGCAGCCACGGAATAAGTCATCCCCTTCGTGGGCCGTTCCTACGTCGGGGGTCTCCATAGCCTGGGTCTCCTAAATTGCCCCTCAGAAAATGTGGGGAGGGGCGGCGAATCATCAATGTTGATTGCCCCAAGAAAGACACTTTGGGCGCTCTCTCCTTTTCAGAGGGTCTCGGAACAAGACCCTTCAGGCATACCCGCCGACTGTTCGTGACAGGCACACTCTCTGATTGTTCATCACGGCGGGAGACATCTTCAACCTCCGATGACTCGGGGACTTTGGTCGGACCATATTTCGAGATCTCCTTGGTCCGAAGATGAGCCTCCTCGACCATCACCGACTCAGCTTCCTTTGAAGCTTCGGCCCTCCCTCTCTTTCGAGCCACCAACTCATAGTCTGTATCTTCTTTCTCCTGTTCTTTATCTCGTAATTTCTGGACTACGTCGGCAGGCAGAGCGACAGTGACTTTCTTCGACTTATGATTCTTGCTCTTTTTAGGCTTTGGAGTATCGGAAGGCGAGCCCCTTTTCCTCTTCTTATCCTTAGCCGGTTTCGGGCCCTCTTCTTCCTAGGTGGAGGTGGCCTCATGACAGCATTATCTCCGAGACCTGATGGGAGAAAATCAAGTAAAAATAAACAAGAAACATTTCACAAAAGGGCATCAAACAGGGATAGAGAAGCTTACCGTGATTTTTGGCCTTCCATCGGCCCCTTGACAAATCGCGCCACGAGCGCTCATCGTACGAGGAGGTTGATGCCAGTTTCCGAACCCAGGCTTCAAGGTTTGGGATTGCACCGGGTACCCAAGAAACCGCTGCATCATAGGAAGGAACATCAATGAGAAAAGAGCAAAGCAATAATGGAGGTCAATGGCGGGTTTGTACTTACGCTCCATGTTCCATTATTTGGGGAATGGCATCTTCTCGGCCGGAATTATGTCGGGAGTCCTCACCTGGACAAACCGGCCCATCAATCCTCTATCTTAGTCCTCGTTTATGCTCAAGAACAGCACCTTTGTGGCCCGACGCTGAAGCCTTATTAATCCGCCTCGATAGAGACGAGGGCTGTACAATCTAAGGAGATGGTCGAGGGTGAAAGACATCCCTTCGACCTTGCTCACGAAGAATCGGAGCAAAATAACAATGCGCCGAAAAGAGGGGTGGATTTGGCCTAGGGTTATTCGGTACTGGCGACAGAAGTCGAGGATAACCGGATTGACGGGACCCAGCGTAAAAGGTTAAGTGTAAACACTTAAGAACCCTTTTACCTAAGTAGTGATGTCCTCTTTAGGGGTCAGAATCACCACCTCCTTATTTTTCCAATGGCAATATTTTTTCACTTGCTTAAGATCTCACTCAATTATCGAACATATGTATCTCTACATTGGCTCACATCGGCCAGGTACCGACGAGGTTTTCTCAACTTTAAAGTCAACAGTAAGATCGCATGACCCAGGAACACACTCTTCGATGCGTGGCTCCACCGGTATTTTATCGCCGGTCGGCCGCGAAGAAGAGTCTTTATCCTTCCGAGGACGGTTTTCGGTGTTTTCGCCATTTTTATACGAGTTCGGAGAAAGAAAAAGATAAAACTTGTTGTTTGAAGAGAAGGTTGGCAAACAGGATTTGAAGATTTGGAAAACTTGAAGGGAGAAGAGGTGCTCTGGAGATTAGAAAAGATTTTGGAAGTAAAGTTTGAGAAAATTATGAAGATGATCTATTTATAATATTTGATATGACGGTTCAAAGACATTAGTGGCCGACCATCAACTGGCACTAATTAATGATCTTGCGAACTGTATAGACGCGACGCGTCATTCACCTCCGTCGCTTACGTCACGAGGATGACATCATAATTGGTCGAGGTACAAAATCGAATGCTCAGTTCGTTTCTTCTCATTACACTCCAAGAAACGAGGGGACTATCTGTATACGGTTAAAATCGGGTTGCCCGATTTTGCTATTTAATCGAGACCAGGAGACCACATCGAGGGTCATTCTCGCAGTGGATCGGGCTATAACACGAAGAGGAGGTGTCGAATTCAAGAATCGAGATGTCCGTCGAGACCGAGGCCAGCAGCAATCGAGACTAAGTATGACCGAATTCGAGTGAAGTGTAATAACGGAAAAGCTAAATATCCGTAACCGATTGGAGATCACGGCGGAGAACAGATCAAATCAAGGGCGGTTATTTGTACCAATCATGGGATTTACTTCCAAAATAGAATTGTACCATAATTAGGATTCCTCTAGTATAAAAAGGGGAGTCCCCATCATTTATAGACACTTCACATTCATACAGATCAAAGCAATATAATATTCTCTCTTTAACTCGCGTTCTTTTGTTTATCAACTTGCTGCTCTTTAATTGTTCTTGTTTTACTAAGCTCGAGGCTACATCAGCTCGAGGGCACCGTCCTCGCATTGGTTTGTTTTATATTCTTGTCAATTGCTATCACTTATCTTTATGTTAATCAATTGGTATTAGGTGAAATTATATATCCTTAAAAGTATATTACAAGTTTAATTGTTAATCAATTTTTTAGGGTAAACAATAGTAATTGTGTGAACCCAATAATTCAGTTCCTTAAAATAATGTAATAATATTCAGTTCCTTCCGATGAAAGATCGCAGCCGTAGATTCCATTGACCTCGTAAACAGTGACGCCTCGAACAAGCAACAAATCATACACCACGTGTCCAGGAGGAGTACTGATTTGGTGCTTCGCTGGTGAACTGACGAGGATGGACGTGTAACTGGAAAACCAAAAATCAATAATCGAAGACGTTAGAATAATGCTGCCCGACGGGTACGGGCAGAGAGCTGGGGCAGGGGGTAGACAAAGACTTTGAAAATAGAGCCCGCATGTCATATGCTGGTCCCTGTATATCGGGTCCCACCAAATTTGTGGTTTTTAATTGGCTGTGCTCTAATTATGTAAGAAAACGGGGCCCAGAGCTGTGTTGTATTGTGGGGTCAGTGGGACCTACGCTGACGCAGCTCCAATGTGGGAGGAAAGAAAAATGACAAAGCAAAAAGGGGGGCTTTTCTAGAGAAATCATGATAAGACTTCTTGTGATGATGGAGAAAATAAGTGGGTTTTATTTTCAACTTTGTGTTTTTTTTTGCTTTTTGCTACAAGGTCCTATATTATGGGAAATTTAGCTCCAGCTACAATTTTTTTTTCTATGATACATTTTTAGCTAGAGGAAGAATATTGCAATATTTTAATTTTGGGAATCAGATCAAACATTAAATTACTAGTTATGCCTTCTTACCGACAAGAGTTGTGGTGGAGTGATAAGTATTCCTTCATTCTTAGCCAGAGGTCTCGGGTTCGAGTCTCTGAGTATGAAGTCACTTTTGTTAGGGAGCGCTTTACTCCCCAATGTGGGACTTCCCGGTGCGACCAAATTTATTCAGACCCCAATATGAATATCGGACACCGGATAGGAAACCAAAAGAAAACTAGTTATGTCTTTTTTAAAAATAAAAATATATTAAAATAATTTTCACACACTCATATGCCTATATAATGATGAAGGTTTTTATGCTTTATGAAAAATAATGTTAAGTATCTATGCCATAAAAACTTTACATGTCCATAATCTGAAGTTTCAAAATATTATAGGAATAATTGATGGATAATAGAATTTTATTTCTTTATATTTGAATAATTTGTATCACAAATTATTGTAGTATCTTTTGTATCACAAAATCTCCATGCCACGATTAAAAAGAAAAAAAAGAATAGTGGTAAAAATAAATTGAAATGAGTCACAAGAAGCTTGAGACTAATAAATTTCTTTTTAGTACGGCTATTTTTGTACTTAGGAAGAAAAAGCATCCCTTTACAGAAAAGGTAAAAATTAGTCTAGAATTGTAATGCTAGATTTGCAACGTAAAGCAAATCTGAAAAGAAATATATGCACCACAATTTAATACTAATATAATCAAAGTTCATGCACTTGTCAAATATTCCCTCAAATATGAGGGAGCAAATTGCTAATAAAGAAATTAGTGCACTCAAAAAGCACAATTTTACAAAAAGTACTCTTGCTTGCTTGTCATGACCAAATTGGGCTAGTAGTAATACTGCCACTATTCCACCCCTTGGATTCTGAGAAACAGCTAGTAGTTTTTTCCTTTTCTTTTTTTTTCTTTTTTCCTTTTTAACTATTTCTTATATTCATGTTTGCTCCCTGAAGTCTCAGAATTACTACCACGAGTACTACATTTTCCTTAGTGGTCCATACAGCACCTAACAAACAAAAAAAAGTTCAGTGCACGAAATATCCCGTGTTCATACAGGGTTCAAATAAGGGCCGCGCTCCAAGAGGTATGATATAGGCACTCTATCTTGATGCAAACATCAGTGACTAATTCCACCGTTCGAAACCATAATATATAGGTCACACCAGAAGCGAATCTAGGATTTTAGTTCTATGAGTCCAACATATAACTTATGGGTTTATATTTACTCTTTATCATAATTTTAGTAATTTTTAATTTATGCTTTACATCAAAAGTATTGGGTTCAACTGAACCCGATAATTATATAGTACATTCTCCCTTACACATGAAAATAACTTAACTTTAGTTTTGCTCCAAAACTCCCTCCCACCAAACTACATTATTCTTGGTGCTAGTAGAATTTGGTGACCTGGCAGTCCTTTAATTATTTGATAAATGGTCTATAGAACCCAATCATTTTTTTTTTTTAAAATCATTTTTTATTTCTTCTTCTTGTCCAACCATCATTATATAAGAGAGTTTGGCCCTTCTTTGCCCTACTCCCACAATCTACTTTTCTCTTCTCCTCCTCTTGTTCTCTGCACTTATCATTCATACCAATATCATATCAGCAAGATCCAGCCCTTTTACAGAAGAAAACAAGGCTTTTAAATTTCTTCTTCATTATACAGAAGAATGAAGTCAGCTGCACTATATTACACTGGGTGTGAAGATCACCACTACCAACCTCATTTTCTTGATGCTTGCACTCTTTGCCAAAGACCCTTGGCTCACAACAGTGACATCTTCATGTACAGGTTAGCATTTTACATACATATTTCACTAAGATTTTCAACAGATTTTAAAATTTGAACTCATACTTAAATACAAAAAAAACACATTCAATTCAGTTTTAAATCATGGATCCGGCTCTTGTATGATCAATGGAATATAAAATTACTAGTCAATTTATGACGAGGCCTCACAATACACATAAATAGTGAGAATATATATAAATAGCTGATCCAACTTGTTTAGATTGATGCGTAATTGTTGTAAATCACGAAAGATATTATATTGACTGCTAATTCTCTTTTTAGTTCTTAATTTTCACTGGATCTGATGAGAGTGAATTTTTGTTTGATTACAGAGGGGATACACCATTTTGTAGCCAAGAATGCAGACAAGAACAGATAGAAATGGATGAAGCTAATGAAAGAAAATGGAAACTTTCTGCATCAAAGAGATCCTCAAGAACAAAAACAGAAACCCCAACCAAAGAAACTGATGCAAATAAAGCTGTGAGAAATGGCACAGTTGCAGTGGCTTGAATCTTCAATCATGGGATTTATTAATTAAATCATGAATGAGGAAAGCTACAAGCCAAAAAATTAAATAAAAAGGGAAGAAAATGGTTTCTGATTACGATATGGAGCCGTAATAAAAATCTTCTGTAAAGATATGATGGGAATCACGAAGAAGATGAAGAGAGTGAATCCCATCAAACAATTTTGTTGAATCTTTTTTTTTTCTTTTTTCTTTTTTCTTTTTTCTTTTTGCGGTTTCTAATATTTCCTTTTGTGAAATATTTGTGGATGTAAATTAAATGGGCGTCCATATATGGAATCTGAGATCTCTAATATTTGTAATCTTCGTGTTTTATCTTTCTGTTCGGGTAATCATCGGCTAATTCGAGGATGTAAAATATGAAGGTATCTGAGTTTTCGATGTTGATAATTTACTTTAGAAGTATTATTTACTTTGATCACATATAAAACGAGTACTTCGTCCCCAGCAGAGGTAGATTTAAAACGATTAATCATTTTTGTTCAAATTATTTATACACACATATAGAATAATTGAAATATATACAAATAAAACTATACACTTAATATGAATTGACCAATTTGTATACGGTAAAATCATGTGCCCCGATTTTGTGGGCCCGAAGGCCCACCACGAGGAACAAAAGGTTCGTGTCGAGGAATAGACTCACTGTGGACCGAGTTCGAGCCCGAACGTCGGGGACCAGTGAGATCAACCTGGGATAATGCCGTTGTAAGTTTGTAACAGAATGAGCAAGATTCCTACCACGTTCCCAAGATCATGGCGTAAATTCCGGAATAGATTTGTACGAATCCGTACTAGGCAGTTAGACAGTTGTCCCAATAAGATTCTTTACTGTAAATAGAAATGTACCTTATTTAGGGTTCCCCTATTATATAAAAGGGATCCCAATCATTTGTAACCATCATCAATCACTGGCAAAAGAATACATTCTCTTACTTTCTCGCTCATTGTTCATCAGAATTGTCCTTTAACTTTATTGTTTTTACTTTACTGTTCTTGACCTACCTCGAGGCCACCTTAGCTCGAGGTCGAGACTGGCTTGCACACTGGTTTGATTTTACTTATTTCCTTCATTTATACGTCAGTTTTCTTGGTTATTAATTATTATCGAACTAAATCACATATCTTTAAAACCATAAATCAAGCTTAACTGTTACTCGTATTTTCGAGCTAAACAGTTTGGCGCTCACCGTGGGGCTAAAGATAATAGCGATTATTTCAATACTGATTCTGATAACACATGTTATTTTCACACTTGTTCTTGTCAAGAATTTTCGTTCTCAGGTTAAAACATGTCAACTCGCAAAGCGCACCCGTACACGGTGATGAGGGTCTTGGATTTCATGGGAAAATTAAACAACAATGTAGGGGTCGGTGTACTACAGATTAACCCTGGGGAAGTGCCAAACGGGGAACCAGTCGATGCTAGTTCGCACATTGCTTTGGATGCGTATTTAGGCGCAACCCCGGAGGAAGTGTACGCAGGGAAGCCCGATCTGGTGGCCAAGGAACACAGGATATAGGAGACGGGGGAGTCAGTCTCCAAGTAATATTCGAGATGCTACAAGCTCAACAGGTGGCTATCGCCTAGCTTCAAAGTCAGCACAAAACTCCAAGTGTAGTCGAACCAGAAACACTCGACGTACTGAGCCGATACCGGAAAGATCAAACAGTAATGGCTAGGGGACTGATCCCACAATTATGAGGATGCTCGAAAAACTCACCAAGAAAATCGAGTCCGGGGAGAAGAAGATTGAGGATAATGACAAAAAAGTGGAGACTTATAACTCCCGTGTTGATCAAATACCAGGGGCACCCCTGATCTTGAAAGGTTTGGATGCCAAAAAGTTCATATAAAAGCCATTCCCTCCAAGTGCGGCTTCGAAGCCCACTCCTAAAAAGTTTTGCATGCCCGATATACCTAAATACAACGGGACAACCGATCCTAATGAACACATTACCTCATACACTTGCGGGATTAAAGGAAACGACTTGAATGACGATGAGATCGAATCAGTATTGTTGAAAAAATTTGGGGAAACTTTGTCAAAAGGAGCCATGATTTGGTATCACAACTTACCCCCGAACTCTATCGATTCGTTTGCTATGTTAGCAGACGCCTTCGTGAAAGCACATGCTGGGGCCATAAAGGCGGCGACAAGGAAATCGGACGTTTTTAAGATAAGACAGAGGAACGATGAGATGCTAAGGGAGTTCGTAACCCGGTTTCAGATAGAGCGAATGGAGTTACCGTCGGTCTCGGATGATTGGGCAGTACAAGCTTTTATGCAAAGTTTGAACGAGCGGAGTTCGATCGCGTCACGACAATTGAAGCAAAATCTGATCGAGTACCCGGCTGTAACTTGGTCAGACGTACATAATTGTTACAAATCGAAGATCAGGGTCGAGGACGACCAGTTGGGAGCCTCCTCTGGTTCAGTTCATCCTAAAAGATTGGTAGTTAAGCCCCGAGGGATACGGACAAGGAACCAAAATAAAACAAGGAACGGTATCAGCCATATGTTGATTGGAGAAACACCGGTTCAGGGCGTAACGCTTCTCGGAACGATCGAAGAAATGATCGAGGTCAAAGCTCTCGGGGACTTATGAGTAAGAATGGTTTTGATAAACATACCGACCCCGCGGAAGCACCTCTATTGTCTGAGTATAATTTCAGTGTAGGTGCATTGGGGATCGTGTCAGCTATTGGAAGAATCAAAGACACCAGGTGGCCCAGGCCTATACAAACCGGTCCTTCTCAAAGGAATCCAAACTTGATGTGTAAGTATCATGGCACACATGGCCATAGGACCGAAGACTGCAGACAACTGAGGGAGGAGGTAGCTCGGTTGTTCAACGAGGATCATCTTTGGGAATTTCTCAGTGATCGAGCTAAGAACCACTTCAGGGAAAGAAATGCAAACAGAAAAATGAGCAGGAAGAACCACAACACGTAATTCATTTGATCGTTGGCGGTGTTGATATTCCACAAGGGCCTATATTCAAAGGCACCAAGGTGTCGATCACCAGAGAAAAACGGACTCGGAGCTACGTGCCCGAGGGTGTCCTATCATTCAATGACGAGGAAGCGAAAGGCATATCTCAGCCGCACAATGACACCCTGGTAATTTCTATTTTGTTAAATAAAATTCAAGTTAAACGTGTTCTAGTGGATCCAGGTAGCTCAACATAATCAGATCGAGGGTCGTAGAGTAGCTCGGCCTTCAGGACCAAATTGTGCCTGCATCCTAAGTCCTAAATGGCTTTAACATAGGCAAGAGAAACAACGAAGGGGGAGATAATCCTACCTGTGAACGTGGCCGGGACCATTCAAGATAAAAAAATTCCATGTCATCGAAGGCGACATGAGATATAATGCACTTCTCGGGAGGCCATGGATCCACAACATGAGGCAGTACCTTCAACCCTTCATCAGATGATGAAATTCCCAACAGTGGATGGTGTAAAAACGGTTTACGGAGAGCAGCACGCTGCAAAGGAAATATTTGCAGTCGACGAGGTGATACCGGTACCAACGCCTTCGACCTCGGAAAAGTCAAGCACCAAAGATAAACAGACATCCAAATAGCAATCACCGTCCCCAGCCTCGACCGAATCGGAGCAGCAGGTAATCGAAGAAGAAGAAGAGGATCTCCTTACTCCTCGAACTTTCGTTGTTCCCGAAGAATCCGATGAAACCAAGTCAACGGTCGAGGAGCTGGAACAGGTCATACTGATCGAATACATGCCCGAGAGAAAGGTATACTTGGGAACGAGGTTTACCCCCGAACTCAGAAAAAAACTCATTCAATTTCTTATTGATATTATGGATTGTTTTGCTCGGTCCCATTTAGACATGACAGGGATCCCACCGGAAATAACAACACACCGGCTAAGCCTCGACCTCAGGTTCAAACCGGTAAAGCAGAAAAGGACTCCCCAGTCCGAGGTGAAGCATGCATTCATAAAGGATGAGGTAACTAAACTTCTTAAAATAGGGTCTATTCGGGAGGTAAAATACCCCGAATGGTTAGCCAACGTGTTTGTAGTCCCCAAAAATGGAAACAAACTTAGAATGTGCGTAGATTATAAGGATTTGAACAAGGCATGCCCTAAAGACTCTTTTCCCCTGCCTAACATCGATCGCATTATCGATGCCACGGCCGGCCATGAGATCCTAACCTTTCTCGACGCCTACTCCGGGTACAATCAAATTTAGATGAACCCGGAGGACCAGGAAAAAACCTCATTTATCACTAAGTTTGAAACATACTGTTACAATGTAATGCCCTTCGGGCTGAAAAATGCTGGAGCAATATTCCAATGCTTAGTTAACAGAATGTTCGAGGAATAGATAGGTAAATCGATGGAAGTTTACATTGACGATATGTTGGTTAAGTCCCTGCGCGCAGAGGACCATTTAACTCATTTGTGTCACGACCTAAACTGGAGGATCATGACTAGTACCCGGGCCATACTTGCCGAGCACCAACGTACATTTTATCTAATCTTCTTATTATCTTTAAGGGCCGACGAGATCAATATAAGTGGTAGATATGGATTATGAACACCAAACAATGAAAGATAATGGAATGAACATGCATAACATGGGATAACAAGACTCATAGATCTTCAATTTGGTGGGTAGATCACCCTGTAATTCCAAGTACATTGGGAGAAAAGCTTAATAACATTTGACCTAAAGTTTAAGTAAAACTATGAACCTAAGTGTCGACAACTCTTGTCGACTTCTGTTTCATAACTCGTTTGACTTCAAGACTATGATACGGATATTATATGATTCAAATACCTTAAAATTAAGCACCCCTAGGTTTACCCAAGAATACGAGTTACAAGTACAACATCCTTGATTCCTTTAACTTCTAATACTCGTTAATCACCCTTATACACTCTTGTATCATTTAAGATCAATAGGATTAACTTCTTATCATTTAAAAAATAATCGCTTCTTAGATTTACGTCGACTAACTTATGGCATGAACCAACGTACGTGAATATGGGTTGTAACAATTTGCAGGAAACTTCAAAATCTTGAGGAAGTATAACATGAAGATTAACCCAGAAAAATGTGCCTTCGGGGTCAGTTAGGGCAAGTTCCTCGGATTCATGGTATCAAATCGAGGGATCGAAATCAACCCCGACAAGATCAAGGCCATCGAAGATATCACTATCGTAGATAATGTGAAAGCTGTACAAAGGTTAACCAGACGGATAGCGCCTTGGATTGATTTATTTCGAGGTCATCGGATCGAAGCCATAGGTTCTTTTCCTTGCTCAAAAAGAAAAAAAGATTTCGCATGGACCCCGGAATGCCAGTAAGCGTTAGAGGAATTGAAACGATATTTATCGAGCCCACCTCTACTTC